AAACAAAAAGAGGCGAGCGACTTGGCGCCGGTTAAAAGAGCCAATTTGGCTTTTGCTGGCTTTTTCCCTTATTATCTTTCTCGCGTCTTAATTTTTAGCGCCCTCGTGGCTTTTGCTTGTTTTGTTGGCCCGTGGCTCCCGGTGAACAGGTATCCCAGGAATCGGGGGACCTTTTTCCTAAGCTATTTCTGAAGATATTTGCAGAGCTGCTTAGTGCTCAGCACTTTTTAAATTTTTTTTTAGCCAAGAACTTTGCTTTTTTTTTCCTGATTTAATGCCACTCTTAATGTCTTTTTTTTTTCTTTATTAAATCCTTTCTTTTGCTTTTGATCTTATTTATAGCCGAGCCACCGGTCATATGGAAACTATTATTGTATAGCATGGAGATGAAAGACTCCGGCGCAGTTAAATAAGAGGGAGTCATTTGGCCGGATAACGCACGCGTACAGCGAGAGCCCGGTTGTTCCCAAGCGCCGGTCCCTTTTTAATATCGTTTATAAGGAAATTTGCACAACTCTGCTTTCCGTCAGCCTTGGGAACTCGGCCGATATTGGACACGTGTTAACACGCGGCGCCTTGCGACTTTCTTGCCCCGTGTTTTTATTTATTTAATTGGATAATGCGGGGTCGCCGCTTGGAAAAGCGCGACGCGCCGTTGCGTGGACAAGGGGGAAGAACCTCTTCCAACCACGCTGGAAAGGGCCATCCGGGGACATTCCGGGGCGTTTCGGAGCATTGGGGAATCTTTTGCTTCTTAGCTCGTTAGCAAGCACTAAAATGTGCCTTTATTTTTGTTGATTTGGGGGTAGAAATATTCGCTTGCCTTGCGTCGGCGTCGTTGGAAGAGATGGGAATCAATCAAATATTAATAGGACTTCAAAGGGAGTTGGATTCTCCGAGATAAGCGTTATTTATAGACCCGCACTCCTGGGCCGGGGAGAGCGATTCTCAGGAAAGATATTAAGGATAAAAGCTCCTGATACTGGGATTTTGCTCCTTGCAAAATAAATTATCCAGGGAAACGAGCTATGGAGCACCAGTTGCCTGGTGCAGGTTTCCTATGGGTCTGGAAAGGATCCGCGAGCGGGAGCGAATCCCTTGCGGAAAAATGGGCTTGCTCCAAGTAAATCCCGGCATCAGGAGCGCCCCTTTCCGTAGGGTAGGGATGGCCGTAGGACACATTTGTTGACTGAAACGAGCTCAGGATTTGCAGGGAGAGAAAAAGATAGCTCCAAAAAGATAGTTACAAATCTCGGCAAGCGGTTGTTGGTTGGAAAGGAGAAAATAGGGCCTGGTGGCTTTTATCCTGCCGTGGCGGTTGTCTCCCAGATCCCTTGGGAAACTGCAGGAAGAGAAGTGTGAGGAAAGCTTTTATTATTGGAACCGATTTTCCAGCCGTAATTAAAACGTCATGTCCGTAGTATCGTGTCTGGGTTTTGGTTTTTTTACATCTGGGTTCAACATTTCACTTTAAGGAGTCTCAAATCGCTGGGGTCGGGTGGCTGCCCTTGGACGGGATGAAGGGGGCAGGTAACGCTCCGTGTCCCCGTGGGGCCACCCGTCAGGAGCGGTGTCCCCTGCGGCTCCCGGAGGCCAGGGATGGACCCGGCTCTTCCCAGGGCATCCGTGGATTCTCCTTGGTGGTTGTGGTCCAGCCCTAGGAGGCATCACCTGCTGGTTGGGCTCCCTCTGCCTCCAAAATCGACGTTTTTTTCACATAGAATCACAGAAAAACGGGGATTGGCCTTCCTGGAGGAACCCCCTGCTCCAAGCTGTGAAGCCAGACCCAACCTCGGGGTTAGACCGGGTTGCCCAGGGCCGTCTCCACGAGGGTTTTTCCCTCTTGCAGGTGATGCCAAATGTCACATCCTCTCGTCGCCACGATCTTCACTCCATTTGATCCCTTTATGATTTAAGGCAGCAGAGCTGCAGCGCTCTAAACACACCTCCTAGCAGCTATTCTTCCCTGCAACCAAATAATGCCAGTTCCAGGCTTTTCTTAGCGTGTCATGTTTTTAAAATTAAAGCGTCTCAGCGAGGAGAGAGTTTTTGTCTCTCCGACTTTACACTCGCTTTTGGTTATTTGCATTTCGTCTAGTAGGAAAAGATTTTCTCCAGTTCCCCTTGGCAGGGTTCCCTTTTATCTCCCTTCCTGCGGTCTCGGCTTGCTGCTAGCAATTAGACTAGATAATCTCGTCAGTTTGACGAGGAGCCTCTCTATCTGCACGAAGACTTTTTGGGGCAGTTGTGCACCCGAGACCCCGTGTGTGGAGATGCTGGAGATGTTACCAGTGGCTTGTGGGGTTTTACCCATTCTGGGCATTTTTATTGCAAATCCGGGTGCCGTTCCTGGCAGTTTGGCTCTTCTTGGTGTCTTGGGTGCTAATGTAAAGGGGGCTCCGGAGAGGCAGCCGCGGTCGGAGGCTGCGCGGGCGATGCGGGCGCGAAGGCTGGAGGAGCCGGATGCCACATTGAAATTCC